TTAAATTTAAATCCAAAAATATTAATTACAATATTAATTTCAGATAATTAAGTTTAAATCCGAAATAAATCCTATACTAATTATTTGTTTTTTCAGCCTTTTAAAATAATTAAATTCTCTATATATTAACTCAGCAAAATTTAAATAATATAATTTTTGTATCAGACACTAACCAATATTTTATCAGCAAAATTACCTAATTTGCTATAACTACCTTAGATTTTCTACTGGCAATCCCACGTATCACGTATTTTGTTAACTATTTCAATACCAAATCTTATCATATTAACTACTCACAAAATTACACACGATTAAGTCTATAAATAGTCAACCTACCTCATCCTTATTCTCATTCTCATCACCAACTCCAAAAACANAGTTTCAAAATTCAAAATACACAATGATCTTTGATAGGCCACACATTATTCCATTAATTTCAATTTGTAAAATTTGATGAAATTCATGACAACACAAAAGATCCAGAGTTTTTGATTGGTACGTTTTATAGTCAATTTTAATTATTTATCAAAGTTACTCATTAACTGTTAATTTTTATTTTAGATTTAGTAGTGAAGTTGGTCCATTTACAATATCTTAATTCATCATTATCTTGATCAAAAACATCAATGATCAGAATAAAACTCTGTGATACAAAGTAAGTTGTCCTTCACTTTAGACTTTATTTTTATAAAAATAAATTTTAATTAAACATATACTAATATGATATGTAAATAAAANCAGTGATTTGTTAATGGAGTGTTTTCTGTGGGTAAACACAGTCAACATTTTCAACTTATTTGGAATAACAGCTCCGGTTTGAAGAAAATTACAATTTTGCGGTCCACAACAATTAAAGATTTGAGATGTATGTTCCTTCGATTAGTTTTTCATATTGTAAACCTAATTACTCACAAAATGATCAAAAATCATTTACATATTGTTAATCAGATCATAGAGCAATTTTATCTATGGATTTCCCTNCATTTCAGATGTNAAGTCAACGATATTNTTCACNGGTAAGTGGAACATATACAATATTTATTGTTTAAATGTTTGACTAATTAATATCCTCAACTAAAACATATGCATGTCATTTTGTTAATCTACGAGGTAAAACAACACTCCAAAAGAATTATCGAAAACCAAGGGTAAAGACGAATGATGAGTTTTTGTTACTTTTTAAAAAAAAAATTCGAATAAGTTTTGTTTTCTAAGGCACAACTAAAAAGATATTTATTTTTGTTATGTTTAATTTTTTTTATATGAATACTAATGAAATCCAGGGCCTTAAATCTTACTGTTGTATTGCTCTATATTTTCTATATACTAAAGAAAACACATTTTTAGATTATTTTATACAATGTCAAACTCTCAAATTTTCTAAATTTTTTATTAATAATTAAATTCCTATGATTATTACTATCTAAATACACTTAATGAAACAATCCATATAACTAAACATTATTATTTTTAAACTTCTATATTAAAAGAGACTAGAGAACAATTTTGCTTTGTGTTATCACCCAACTTTTTTATTTAATTAATTCGATTTTTAACACTATCATAATTGCCAAACAATTTATTTACCAATCAGGATTAGTCCCATACTAAACTTATTTACTTTGCCAAACAATTTTTTTCCAATCAGAATTAGTCTCATAGTAAAGTTATTTACTTTCCCAAACAAAAGTTATATACTAATTACACTAATTCCTTATCATCCTATTCTTTTGGGTCAAACTTTACCAAACAAAAGTTTATATTTACTAAATTCTATTTACTAATTCGTAAGATATACACAATCCTCACTTTTAGAATTTTCATACAAATAATTTGATTACATTTATAATTTTGGTTCTAGAAATACCAATTTAAAATACAAGCGGATCCATATTTTCTTCATCGGAAAAGTAGATCCCAACTGTTAGCAACAAAACAAAAAAGTAGATCCCATTTTAATAACAGTGTTAACTAAATGTACTTTTGACTATTTAACTAAATCAAG